TCTCTCTCTCTCTCTCTCTCTCTCTCTCTCTCTCTCTCTCTCTCTCTCTGTGTACCAAAAATTATTTGACGAGTACGTCAACAGAAATGAAGAGCTTCGATGTTTCATTTCATTGACATCACACCGATCCTTTTCCGATCTCTCTCTCTCTCTCTCTCTCTCTCTCTCTCTCTCTCTCTCTCTCTCTCTCTCTCTCTCTCTCTACCAAAAATTATTTGACGAGTACGTCAACAGAAATGAAGAGCTTCGATGTTTCATTTCATTGATATCACACCGATCCTTTTCCACTATCTCTCTCTCGATCGATCGATCGATCGATCGATCGATCGATCGATCAATCGAATCGATTGATCGGTCAGAGAGCCCGTTGCAGGAAATTGAAGTGCATTTTTTTTTGTTTGTTTCATGTTTTGATGCAGTGCATTTTTCGTAAGGGGAGGACTGGGAACAAGGAGTCGTAGCGACAGATAGGGGCCAGACGAGGAAGGGCAAGGAGTGATGGAAAAGCCAGACCGGAAGGGATGGACGAGGAAGAGGAGGAGCAGTGGAAGGATTTTAGCGAGCGACTTACGCACGCAAACAAACTGGAGCTGATTCGAGTACGCGGATCGACTGGAAGGATGACAAGGAGACTCGACAAACGGCCTGAATATAGCCCAGCATCCGGACCAGAATCGTTTCCCTTGGCAAACCGAAGCGAAGCTAAACCAAAGCCGAAGCCAAGCGTCGTTAATCGTGCACTTCCACCTCCACGTCCACCACCACCACCACCACCATAGCCTGGATGGCAAGTTCGTTGACCGCACCCCTACAGGAAATTCACATTAATACGATTGACGATTGTTCTGGAAATGATCTTCGTTTACACAGATAGGACCTCCGATTGGGCCTGATTTGAACCATCCAATTGCTTCGATTCGATTGAGATACGATCCGATTCGCTCTGTTGTGACAAACCTGTTGTGACAAATCGAACGGCTTGGATTGTTTGGATTGGACCTCAACAAAAATATCACCCTTGCAATGAGCTATTTATAGTCTCGTACATAACATATAACACGGCAGACTACCCTTATTACAGCGTCAGGCCGACCGAACGGAAGAGAACCTATCTATGGGCGTCGCCGTACGGGACACGAAACGAAAAACAAAACGAGTGCATCTTCCTGCAGAAAATGGCCAGGTTCATCGGTTTGCTATAAATAGTAACCAGTGTATTTTGTGCCCTTTCGTGGGCAGATGCACTCGTTTCGTTTTCGTTTAGCGTGCCGTGCGGCGACACCCTATATATACATATATATACATACTTCACAGCCCCTATCTCAGACCCTGGACCAGTCCCGATAAAAGTTCAGCCAGATTTCTTTCTACTCCACTCTGGGTTTATGGGGCTCGTTCGACACTCCTCGGGTGCCGAAATCCCCCAAGGAAATAGTCGTTCCACTTGTCCTCGGGGAAAGGAAAAAAAAAAAAAAGTGAAAACATTTCCTCGGGGATTCTTCGGGGATTCCTCGGGGCACAGGCAATTTTCAATTTTCCCCAAGGAACCTCCGGTAGGATCCTCGGAGCTCCCCCATCGGGAAGAACCCACTCTTCGACGGCACCTCAGTCGACTTCTTTTGTCGGCGGCGTCTGGTCTATCGGTGGTCCGGGCGACTTGCGCACGGACATGTTGGGTCGCCAACGTTCAAGAGGCCCGATGTCCATGCCAACGGTAACCGTTAGCGGGCCGGTAGCATCCCCAAGGTGCACACTGCGTTGCAACTCGGGCTTGGGCTTCAGCCGTGGCGGGAAACCGGCCAAGGGTCGGCAAATGCGAATATTTGAGGTGGCACAGCGCGTCCAGAAGACGACGGCTTCCGTTTGTCGCCAAGCGCGTGTCGCCGTGTGCAGGACGTCGCAGTTACGTTGTCGGCCGTGTTCTCTTCCGTCTAGTGCCGTTGCCGTCGTCCGTCGCATGGCTGACAGCTTTCGCAAGCTCCCGCTGCTGCTTCTCGACATCTTCCTACTGGTCGTCGTCGTAGTGTTGCACATGTGTTTCGTCGGGGGCGCGCCACGGCGTTGGCGCAGACGAACTTCGCCGATGAAGGCCGTCAGGACGGATAGTGGACAGGGATCCCACAAGGGAGGAGGGGAGCAGGTTGTGAGCAGGCGTGCCGTTGGGAGTTCTTCACCGGCTTGCAGGTTGTCGTTGGGGGTCGGTCATTCATCACTGCCGCCGCATTTGCAACCCCTCCCTGACTCATCTGATGAGGAGGAGAGGGAGGGACGGGCATGCACTGTTCCGTTGGGTAGTGGTTCTACGCAGGAATGGTCTTGGACGGAGCTGTGCGGCGGCAGTGGCGGTGTGCACGGCCAGTCCTTCACTGAACTGCTGGCGCCGGGTCTCGACGGGGAAGAAGGGCATGGCGGATCGAACCTGTCTTCTGGTCTGTCTACAGGGAGGTCTGGAAGCCAGACGCACACAGTGATCGTCAATCCCCATGTTGGCGACGACGGCGGGCAGTTAACCGCTGTGGACAGATCATCGAAATCCGCAGGCGCGCAGCAGTGGCAGGGACGAGCGACTTCCATCTCCAGGAGCACGCAAGGTCGTCCGTCGTTTATGCAGTCCCCGGCTCCGGTGTGTGCTGCGTCCAACCTGGGACGTCGACGTGGCATTGTCGAGGAAAGGGGGGGGTACTTGGACGACGTCGTTGACGACCTCGACGGGAGGTTAGTGTGGGCGGAGGAGCGACGGAAGATCAGGGAGGGGCGAGAGGAAGCAATCAGGCGGGGGGTGGAGCGGCTGAGGATGGACAGGCAGGCAGAAGAAGTTGAAGAGCCACATGCGGGGCTTCCGTCCGAAGACGACGACGATGACGGCGTAGGAGAGGCAAGAGACGGGAACGGCAGTTACGCCTCGCCATCGCAGAACGGCGACAGGGGGGGGAAGGGCGGCAAGACGAAGGCGACCAGCGGGAACGGTCGTGGGCGGCCGAAGAAAGCGCAAGCAAAGGCGAACGACGGAGAAGGTGATGGCGACGCAGAGGAGAAGCGAAACTTTTGGAGTGTCGAACATATCATCGCGCTCATACGGGCGAAACGCGATCAGGATGCGCACTTGCAGGGGATGGGGCATGCCTATGCCCGGATGAAGCCGAGGGAGTGGAAATGGAATGACGTCGCCAGAAGATTGAAGAATGTAGGTGTTGACAGGAAGCAGGAGAAATGCAGGAAGAAGTGGGATAACCTCATGCAGCAATTCAAGAAAGTTCATCATTTTCAATCGCCGTCCGGGGGAATCGACTTCTTCCAGTTGAACGGCAAGGAGAGGGCGAGACACGGCTTCAATTTTAACATGGACCGCACCGTTTACGACGAGATTGACGGGTCCAGCGGTTTCAACGAAACCATCAACCCCAAAAACGTTGTCGATACTGGTGCCCGCGGCGGTGTGCATTTGCCGTCGATGACAACTGCTGATCCTGAAGCAGTTGGTGATGCCGATGCCGGTGCATGGGGGGAAGATGAGGACGAGGGATCGACTCGTGGTTCCTCCCAGACGTCGGGCAGCCCCCATGGTTTCGGAAAGAGGAAGAGCACACGGCAGCAGACGTTCGAAGCAATGACGGAGTGCATGGACAAGCACGGTGCGTTGATGGCGGCCACGATGGAGAGTGCCAACAAGCGGCAATGCAGCATTCAGCTACGACAATGTGAGGCATTAGAAGTTGAAGTGCAGGTGCAGAAGACGCACTACGCCGCGTCCGATGAAGTCAGCAAACTCATGTGCCATGCGTTGTTGGAAATAGCAAAGGCTATTCGCGAGCGATAGACTTCGTTGGCATTGTGTTGTGTAGCACTTGCTCCCTGGAATTTAGTAGTCGGTGGATAGTTGGAGGCTTCCCGTTGTAGTCGGCTTCGTCGGCAAGGTGTCCTCATCGATTGTTGTCGTTGGTGGTCTTTGTAGTGTTGTATTACGTCGGTTGGGTGCATCAGTCGGCCGACTTTGTGTGTGTTTACTCTGACGTAGTACGAGACGGGTAATCCCGTCATTCAATGAATTGAATTTAAATTTCGATAGTGCAGAAAGCACTTTCCTTTTTGTTAAAGTTTTGCCCCTCAATTCTTCCGTCTCCGACTGTTGTTATGGTGTG